TTATCTTCTCGCTGTGAGCTTTGGAAGATTTAGAAAACAAGCTCTTCACTATTTGCAGTGGCACTGATTTCCCACTGAGGTACAGTTTATTATGGCAGTCTGGCAACCAGGGCCCTGCACCGGGGTCTGTGTTTTTCCCTTGCTTGAGCATCCAGACGTAAGCCATGATATAGCCAGTCATGAACGCATCAAAGCCAGCTCGGTGTGTGCCCCCCTGTGAAGGAGGGCCATGGGCTTCCTTCTCCTTTCCTGCAGCACCTGCAGTCTCACGGGCGGCTGGGTGACTGGGTGACAACCCAACCCTGGACTTCTTCTCTGCTTGGTCACTGTCAGAGGCATTTCCCCTGGCAGAAGGGCTCTGGGCAGCTGCTCCCTGGTCAGTTCTTTCAGTGCCCCCCAGATTCTCTTCCCATTGTGTGCTGGTGTCTGAGCTGACCTCTGTTTCCATGTCCATGGAGATCTCCTCCAGGGGCCTGCCCTCCCCGTTGGGTGCGATCTCTGCCAGCTCTGTGGCAGCTGCAGGCTCATAGCAGCTCTGTTTCCGTGGTGGTCCTTCCTCCCCGTTCTGAGCTTGCTCCATGTTGTCCCCTGAGCTTTCCTGCTGGAATGCCGTTGCGAGCACTTTCACAGTCTTCCGATGCTTCCATCTGTGCTTCCGTTTCTTGCGCTTCTCCCAAAGCTTGTCGTCCTCGTCAATGATGAGGTCAATGTTATGAGAATCTGGACACTTCACCCCTTTTGGACACCACCCATAGGCCTAGCAAGAAAGAGAGAGGGGTCTGTAGCCTCCATCCTACTGGTTAAGACAGCAATCACCATAACATGGAGTGGAGCTAATTATTCCCTTCCACTGAGGGCTTGCGAGGCTGGAGCAGGAACAGTGTCCAGCACACAGGAAAGGTGCTGCCACACTGTACTGGTGCAGCACACAGCATATGGGCAGAGACCAAGGAAGGTGGGTTTGTTCTACCTGGAGAAGACAAGGCTAAGGGGAGGGGGATATCTAGTTGGTGTCTGCAGGTACCTACAGCAGAGGTTATGGGCAAGATGGAGCTAAACTCTTGTGAGAGCACAGGGAGAGGAAACCTGGCAACAGTCAGGGGAAATTATGACTAGAAAACATTTTTCATGTAGTGGTCAATCACTGGAACAGGGACCTGGAGTGGTTTTTTAATCTCTGTCCTTAGAAACTTCCAGAAATTTCCCTAACTTATGTTCTGTGACAGAATGTACAACATGTGGGAGAGCTCCTTTTCTCCATGAAGCACCTGAAGCCAGCTATGATCTGACCAGATGGGCTCTTTGCTGCTGTAGCTGCACTAGGATGAGCTCTTGTGGATCACCCTGTGCTACAGTGCCAGAAGCTGCAAACAGGTAATAATTTTTTATATCTAATGAAGGTAAAGGGAAGGGTAGAGGTGGCACTTCTCTTCTCTCTTGTAGGACAAGCCAAACTAAGGCAGAACTTGCAGCCTCCCCAAGACAGCACGGGATACTGTAACTCATACTATCCCACTGTTTAGGGCCATAGACTCTGTTGGAATCTTCCTAATGAAGCCTGTAGGATTCCCCACCTCCAAGCAGAGCACACTATTGCCCTGTCTGCCATGAAGCCACCTGAAGCCTGAAAATGTTCCTTGTACTCTGAAGCAGGTGAGGGGGAGTTGCCAGATGCTTTCCTACAACTTCTGGCTCAGGCCATGTGTGCCCCTTTCCATGGAGTCAGGAAGGAGTGGGGATTTGTGTTACTTACTGAAAACTTCTCACAGACAGGCACCTTGTTGCCCCCTGCAGCACTGCTGTGGCTGTCTTCCTCCAGAGAGCAGTAGCGGTAGTCGATGTAGCGGGACATGTCGGCGGGGTAATTGCAGAACTCCACCGTGAGGTGCTGCCCGCTCGACTCCCGCAGCTTGCGGTTCTCTCGCTTGCTGCAACAAGAGGAGCACACAGTTACTGTGGGATGGGACCAGGGCCGGAGCAAACACTGCCCTCCACCAACTCTCAACTCCGTGACTTTCCTGCTCCTGAGCTCCAGCCCCAGATGATGGAAAGGAATTCAATTCCAGGAAAGCAGCTTTAGTAAGTAGTTGTTTCTATGCTGATTCAAAGGGTTTTTTTCTTATGCTGACATAGAGGAAGGGAAAGCAGCATCTCTGTTGAAGTTACAGGAGAAGGGGATGCAGTTTGTTTTTTTAACTATAAAGGGCACTAAGATATGTGTTTGTCTTCATAATGGTAACGGACAAGGAAAAGACGCCCCAAAATGAGGTACTGTGCAGACTGTCCAGCAGTCACCACCTAGGCAGGTTGAACCTGGGCAATGCAGGCAACAAGGAAAGGGTTTTCATTTAATGAAAAAAATCTGATCTCTGTTTTGTTCCAACAGCTGGTTAAAAGGTCAAAACCTTTGGAAGGCTCTACCTAACAAGAACTGGGCTTAAAACATTTAAGACGTCAGCTTAGAAAGTTATTTTTATCTTGTGAAAACAAAGCACTCTCATGTTTTGAGAACAGCCATCTTGAATGTTTTCAGACCTGTCAAACTGGCATTTCCTGAGATAAAACAGTCACAAAAAGTACCATTTCTCCTCAAAACAGAGCATGACTTGAACTTTATAGAGATCCCAGGGGCTTTATCAGGGGCCAGGGGCTTGTTTAGATTGTGTGAGGCCTGCAGAATGTGGGGCCAGACTGCAAAGCACAGATGTGTGTCCTGAACAAGAGCACAACCCTTGCTTGGAAAGAAGTGATGGGAGTCAGAGTGGGCCATGGGCATCTTGTGTGCAGGACATGTGACAGAGCTGGTCAGTGTCAAGGAGTGCAGGGAGCATCCATCCTTTAACTGCAGTGTCCCCCACAAAGTAGAATTATAATCAGGAGACCTGCAGGACAGCCCTGGTTTCTTTTCTGTGTGATGTCCTGCCATGACCCTGTGGCACTGCTGGACCAGAGCCAGGCAGTGACAAAATTAGATCTCAGATCAGGCCACTGTGGTCAGTCTTCTACTGACACCAGTTCTGAAGTTCTCTTTCAGCTGCTGCCCACCAAACAGGTAAGGCCTATTGAAAAACAAACCCATTCTAGAAACAGAAAAAGCATAGGGCAGAGTCACCTGAAAAGCACCTTCAGTCAGTGGGACAGTGAAAGGACACAGCCCCTTGCTGGAAAAACAAACACAAGTTGACTCTGTAAGCTCTGAGTACCAGTGTGCTGCTCACCACTTCTTGTAGGCGTACTCCAAGTAGGAGGCTACAAAGCGAGTCTCAAACTCCGAGGCGTACTTGGTGTCGTATATTCCCGCCGGGAACATCTCGGAGAGGTCGGCGGTGAAGGTGCCCAGGCTCTCCGGGAGGTGGGCGTAGAAGCACTGGTACAGGAACACCAGGTCGATCAGGCCGTTATGGAGGATGAGCGGCTTCTTGGCTCGGATGAGCTCCAGGAACAGCGTCCGAACGCTCAGGCTCTGGCTCTCGTTGCCCTGCACAAGGGAGGATCAGTCACTGAGCCTGGGCACTCTGGAGAGCCCTCAGAGCCTGTGGCAGGAGCTGTGACTGACTCTGAACAGAGGCACAAATGTTTGGAAAAGCAACTGCAACGAGTGCGTTTAAAGCGGCAGGGAGGTGAAAGGGACAATGCGGCAGGCAGGAGCCCAGGGTGTGCCCACCCTCACGCAGGAGCAGGGGAAGCCAGCACACTCCCAGAAACGTGGAGCAGAGCAGGCTGAGGTGTCTGAGAGGGAGTAAGTTTGTACCTTGTCGTTGCCCTTGTGGTAAGGGATCCCCTGGGAATACTGCTTGTTGAAGTCGAAGCCGTGCTGCACCAGGAACTGCACTGACTGGGGCTCGACCACATAATCCTCGGTGCAGAGCAGCGTGAGGTTGTAGATCTGGCACAGGTACGTGTTCTCGGACTGCGCAAGGAGAGGGGCAAAGAACCCAGGGACACCTGTCAGGGGGAGCTGCCAAAAAAGCCGGTGGACTTCCACGGGGCAATTCAATCTCCCAGCGCGTCCCCGTCTCCCGGGACCGACCAAGACAAAACGGCCGCCCCACGGTTCGCGCACGCACCTTCTCCGGGAGCTGCTTGAAACAGGCGACGCCGAGGGACAGGACAGAGCGCGTCCTGGCGGCGCTGCAGACGGCCTTGTAGCGCTCCTCGATGCACCTGGTGACGGGAGAACGGGCCATGACGGCTCCGGCCTGCCGGTACTCCGGGGAGAGGGCACCGCGCAGCCGGTACCGAGAAACGCACCCCCCGCCCCACCGGGCACTCACGGGCTCAGCAGCAACTTCCTGGCGCCGAGGCCGCTGAGCTCCTGCGGGGAGAGAGACACTGTCAGTGGCTCCGCGGGACCGGCCGCGCCCCTCCCCGCCGCCGCCGCCCCCACCCGGGCTCACCGTGTCCACGGCCACGAAGGTGGCGGAGCGCAGCGCCAGCACCATGGACGGCCACAGCTCCGCCAGGTTGTCGCTCTGCACGTCCACCACCGGCACCCGCGCCGGGCCCGCCATGGCCGCGCCCGCACGGGGCCTCCGCCGCCCCGCCTGCCCAGCGCCTGCCCGCCGCGGGCCCCGCACGCCTTGCCCGCTCCGCGCCCAGCGCCGCCCGCCCTCGCGGCCGGCCCAGCTTCTGCCGGCCCCGGTGGGGTTTTTTACCGTTCTCAAAATCCGTTTCCAACCGAAATTTGGAATTAAGTCAACAGGCGTTTAGCTTGAACAGCTCCTTTGGGTCCTTCCCGAGCAGACGCTCGGACCGGCGGGAGCAGGGGCGGGCCCCTTTTGCTCCCGGCTTGCTGATTGGCTCCAGCGCGCCAGGAGGCCCCGCCCCTCACGCCTGCGTTCCGGGGGAGGGCGGGTACGATCCCGCCCCCGCGCGCTTCCCTTCGATTGGCTGGCATGCGGCGGTGGGCGGGACCCCCCGCTCTGATTGGCCGCCGCGCGATGGTGGGGCGGGACAGATTTTCCCGGGAAAGCGCGCGCGGCGGCAGGAGCGGCTACGCCATGAGCCCCGCGCGGGGCCGGGCGGCGGCGGTGGCGGCGGCCGGGGCGCTCCGGCGGAGCGGCGGGAGCGCGACCCCGCCCCGCGGGCGGAGCAGGGGGCGCGCATCGCCCCGCGGAGGTGCCCGGCAGCGGGAGGGCTGGGGGAGCGTGGGGTATTCTCTCCGGTGCTTGCTGGGTCCGCGTAAAGCCCGGTACTCGGTGCGGGTCCACCCGGCAGCGGCTCGGTCGGGCTCCCGCCTCTGCTGCGGTTGAGCCCCGCAGCCCTTCGCCGTCTCCCGCCGTGCGCTGACCCCGCGCCGCTCTCCTGGCAGGGGCCCCGGCTGCAGCGCCCGCTCCGCCGCCCGCCCGGCATCTCTTCAGAGATCCCGCTGAGGTCGAGGCCCTGCGCCGGAATCTGCTCGCCTGGTACGATCGATGCAAGCGGGACCTTCCCTGGAGGGCGCTGGTAAGGGGAGACATCGGAAGCAGGGGTGGGGAACTACTTACTCTGCCTTAAGGGAGCCTGGCTGATGTGACCGTGGTGTTTTTCCTTATGTCGTGCATCCCCACCCGCATGGAAGTGCTCCCAGCTGGTCCTGGCTGTGTTGTGGTGGGTGGTCTGGAACCAGTCCCTAGGTATGAAGAGTAAAAGCAGGGCACGCTTCTCATATGTAACCTTCCAGACGAGTACTTATCTCTGGCGAGGTTAGTCTAGCTGTGTTTCAATCCTGTTTTGTTCCTGCCTTTATGATACTCTGAAGCAGCGAGTGCTGCATGGAGAAGGTTTCCCATCCATTTGTTTTAAGCCTGCTGGAGTTTTTTTAGAGCTCCTGCCTGTTCTGTGCTCAGAGAGTCATTGTGGTGCTGAGGGTGGGCATCAGCTTTACAGCAACGTCTGAATGGTGGGAACTGCACAGCCCCTCTGGGATTTACATCTGCCTCTAATTGCAGGCAGGCTCAGGTATGGGATTTTTAGCCTCCTAGGTAACTCTCCATGTGGGATTTCATCAGCAAGAAGTTGCTTTAGCTGTCACTTGATTAACCCAAACTCAGAACTTCTGAGTGCTTGGGGGGAAATTTTTTTTTTACTTTCAGATTCCATTGCAGTGTTCCAAACACACCATGGATTGTTGTATTTTACACACAGGTCCCCTCTGCAGTGGGGTCTGTGTCACCTTCTTCCTCACGCTTCATCTTTTTTCTCTTGCAGGCAGCGGCGGAGCCGGATGCCGACAGACGGGGATATGCAGGTGAGGAGCAGGGGCTGGCTCTGTGAGGTGTGGCTTCGTGTGCCATCCTTGGAACAAACTGCCTGAAGTGGACACGAGAGCCATTGATCCCCCTTGCAAGGCACTGCGGGTTTGGAGAACCCACCTTGGGCCTGGGGGAGCCCCTGTGGGGAAGGTGAGGGGTGGGAGGGTGTCCCATGAGCCGGATGCTGTGCAGGGTTTGTAGCCAGTGCTAACGTGGCCACAGCACGAGGTGTGGGTGGCGTTGGTGCCTGTGCTGTGAGCCCTGCCCTGCTCCCTGCAGTGTGGGTGTCTGAGATCATGCTCCAGCAGACACAGGTGGCTACGGTGATCGACTACTACACCCGCTGGATGCAGGTGACTGCTCCTTACACAGTCCTGTGCCCACAGCCTGTCCCTTTTGGAGGGAGCAGCTGCCCCCTGCCTGTGGCAGATCCCCAGTGGCAGAACTCTGCTTGTCCCTGACTTGTCCCTTTCCCTCTGTCCCGCAGAAGTGGCCAACACTGCAGGCTCTGGCTCAGGCCTCCCTGGAGGTGAGGCTCGCTGGGATTCGGTGCTCTCCTTGCCCTGTGGCAGAAAGATTAACATCAACACTCTCCATTAACACCCTGCTGTGTCTCTGAGCAGGAGGTGAACGAGCTGTGGGCTGGGCTTGGCTACTACTCCAGAGGGAAGCGTCTGCAGGAAGCAGCAAGGAAGGTGCTGGAGTGGGGGGGAAGGGGCATTTCTAAAGCCCTGTGTGGCTGCAGGGCTGGTGCTAGCTCATGTCTGCCCTGCCTCGCTGGGGCTGTGCTGCTGGCACAAGGCTGCAGAGGCTGGGATCCCATCTTCCCATGGGCAAAATGGGTTCCTTGCACACGTCCACCCCAGCTGCTTCCCTGAGCTTGGCCCCTTCCCTGCCAGGTGGTGTCCGAGCTGGCTGGTCAGATGCCCAGGACAGCTGAGGAGCTGCAGAAGCTGCTGCCGGGGGTGGGCCGATACACGGCGGGAGCCATCGCGTCCATCTCGTACGGACAGGTGAGAGCTGCTGACAGTGGGCACCTCTCCCCTCGCTGCCCAGCCCCACTCCTGACAGCTCCTGCTGCTGGGTCTCACAAGCCAAGGGATCCCCAGGGTTCTGCTTGGCTCTCCCCCACTTTGGGGTGCATCAAAGCCCCCACCCAGCTTGACCTGTGGGTTGGCCTCCTGTGTGTCCCTTTCCATCCTGGGAGCATCCCAGCTCCCTTCTTTGTCCGGAGCACATCCCAGCATGGTAATGCCAGCTCCTGGTGCCAGGCTACGGGAGTTGTGGATGGGAACGTGATCCGGGTCCTGTGCCGCCTGCGATGTGTTGGTGCCGACTCCAGCAGCCCAGCTGTCATCGACTGGCTCTGGTAAGGGAGTGCTCTGTCCTGGAGCTGTGCTGAGTGTGGCTAAAGGCAGCATCACCCAGGAGCCTTGGGGAGCTGAGCCTGTGAAGGGAGGCAGGTGTGGAGTATGGAAACTCTTGGGTAGTTGGTGCTGCTCGGAGCAGTGGTGAAAGGAGCTGTGCTGCCTGTGCCTACCTGGGAGCTTCCCTCCAACAGGCAGGAGGCAGGCAAAAGTCCTGGCATGCTCTTCTCAGAGATCCCCATGCCTCTTACTGCCCTTTCTCCAGGGACATGGCCAATGTCCTGGTGGACAGGAGTCGCCCAGGGGATTTTAACCAAGCCTTGATGGAGCTGGGGGCAACTGTGTGTGTGCCCAAGTCCCCACTGTGTGGGGAGTGCCCGGTGAAGCAGCACTGCCAAGCATGGCGCAGAGTAAGTGTGGCCCCGAGGGTTTGCCATGCTTGGGACAATGTAGGCTGGTGGACGAGCCTGTCCTCACTTCTGTTTGCCCTTGCAGGTGGAGAAGGAGCTGGCCTTCGCCTCTCAGAAGCTGTTTGGAAAAGCCCCCCCAGTGCCCGATGTTGAGGACTGTGGTAAGCATGTGGGGAGATGGCTGTTGAAGCTCCAGGTCTGAGCCCTGCAGCAGCTGTTACACTGGTGTTTGCAGGTGTTGGGGACTGTCCCCTGTGCCCCCCAACCACAGAGCCATGGGACAGCAGCCTGGGGGTGACCAACTTTCCCCGGAAAGCAGCGAAGAAGCCGCCGCGGGCGATGCGAACAGCCACGTGTGTGCTGGAGAGGAGGGGCTGCCACGGGGCCCCAGAATACCTCATTGTGCAGAGACCCAGCTCAGGTAATGGGGCTGGGAAGGGGGGGATGAAGGCACCACACAGCCCCTTCCCACCTGCATGAGGGATAGAGGGAGAGGCTTTGGTTGCTGGGGTAGGGAAAGGAGCCCTTTGGGGCTGTGATGAGGCTCAGTGTCCCTGGATGTGTCCCTTGCTGTCTCACGTTTCTGTCATGCCTCCTTCCCAGGTCTCCTGGCTGGACTCTGGGAGTTCCCAAGTGTCCCACTGGCTCAAGATCTGCAGGAGGAGAAGGAGAGGGAGGAGCTGGCTGATCACCTCCAGGCCTGGATGGGGCGGCCCATGGCAGCAAAAGGCCTGCAGTTTATTGGAGAGGTGAGCCTGGAGGTGGAGGGATGCAGTGAGTCCCCTGTGCTCAGCCATGGGGATGTAGCACACAGGAGAAAGGTGTCCCTTCCCCGCTGTCACCCCTCCCAAGCTCTGCCCCACTGCTCAGGACCCTGGCAGGCTCAGTGCACTTTGCATCCCCCATTGCCTGCCAGCTGCCTGTCTCATGTGTCTTTCCATCCCCTCACAGGTCATCCACATCTTCTCCCACATCCACCAGACTTATGTGGTCTACTCCCTGCACCTAGATGGGGATGTCACCCTGGACCCTGCCTTGTCCCCATCCCGCTGGGTGACAGAGGATGAGTTCCATGCCTCAGCCGTGTCCACAGCCATGAAGAAGGTATGGGGGCACTTGGGCCTTTCCTCCCTTCCCTCAGTTATCTGGGAAAAACCCCTGCTATCCCCTCAACTTCTCTGGGCTCTCTTGTTCTTCCCTCAGGTGCTGAAAGCTCACGAGAAGCAGCGCAGGAAGGAGAGCAGGCCTGTCAAGGTGAGCAGTGCTCCAGGGTGCCTGGGGCCCCAGTGCTCTGGGACAGCCTCTGGTGTGCTGTGCTGAAGGCACCCTGGAGTTTGGGCTGAGGCCAAGGAGCATCCCCAGCCTGTGGCCATCCCCTGACTGGCACTGCCCCCGGGTGTCCTGTCCCCAGAGGGATCCCCAGAGCCCGTGGGGGCCCTTGGGGTCTGGTTGAGCCCTGCTGTGTCTCCTGCAGGGCTCCAAGCGGAAGCGGGGGGCCGAGGCACCGGGAGCAGGCAGCCCCCGCCCTGGGACACAGCTCTCCCTCCGTGCCTTTCTCCGGGCACCGACGGCCCCGTGAGGGCACCAGCCTTCCTCGTGTGAGAGCCCAGAGCCCCTCGCTGGGGTCAGTCCTGCCCAGGGCGTGGCAGCACTGGCCCTGTGCCGTAGCAAGCCCAGGACATGGCTCTACAATGGTCTCTCACTCTTCCTCTCCCTTGCCTCCCCCGTGGGCATTGTGCCTGGATGTGGCCGCTGGTCCTGGATTAATCCTGGAGCCAGACCTGCCCTCCCTCCTTGGCTGGAGCCCTCCTGGGCTATTTGGCCCTGTACTGCCACCACTTTGGCACTGTGGACTCAGGGCAGCAGCGCTTCCTCTCCAGCAGTGGGAAGGTTGTGGCCACATGGCTCCTGCAGCCCTGTCCCCTGCCTACATCTCATGCCCCTGTCAGTGACTGGGGATGCTGCTGTACCCTCCCTTGTTTTTACTGTACCTGAAAATAAATCTCAAGTGTGTGGGTTTTTTAAGTGACTGTCTCTGTTGCACTGTGCTAAGCTGGGGGTGTTGGGCAGCCTGTGATGGAATGTGAAGATAGCCAACAGGATCCTTAGATCTGAGCTGGGAAGAGCAGGGATTTCTTCATTAATACACCCAAGAGCCCCTAGGCTGAGCATTAACTGCTGATGCCCCCAAATAAAGCACCCAGAGCACCCCTCCTGCAAGGGCAGATGTTGGCCCCCAAGGGCTGTGCAGCTCCTGCCTGTGGGCTGCTCCTCCCTGGGGCTGAACAACTGCCCCCAGTGTTTTTTGTAGGGTTTCATTCTCCTTTTATAGTTTTTCATTGGGCTGCTCAGCGCTGTTCATGTTGAGTGTGGTGCACCCTTGCAAATGCCCAATGCTGGGGGCTGGCAGGGATAGGGGACAGTCCTGGTGGGGTGCTAGGGGCAGTGATCTCAATTTTAGTGATACGCCCACTTTGACTGATGGAAATGGCCATTTCATCCTCACCTGGCACTCAGCACATCTTAAATAGGAGGATTAAAAACCCAAAGCAGTGCCTGTAAGTTAATTCTTTAACTGAGAGGAGGAAGAGGCCACCACTCACCCCACAGGGCTGGTCATGCTGTGGGTGGTAACTGCCACTAAGTGATCATAATCCAGGGCCTCTGGATTATCCACTCCCTTCAGGCAGCCCCTCTTCTCTCTGTGTCTGGAGTGTTTCTGTGCCAGCATGCTCTTGGCCATGTTCCAGGCTCAAGTCTCAGTAAATTAGGCTGAAACTAAGGCAGAAAGTTCTTTACATGTGGTTGATAAATCACTGGGAACCCAGGGCAGGGGAGAAATCCCAGCCATCCTGGGGCATGCTCACAACCCCCACTGGACTCAGCCCTGAGCATCTTGTTCCCACTGGAGCTGGGTTGGCTCTGGATTGATCTGGAGCCATCCCTTGGTCCCTGCTCACCTGGGCCATGCCAGGGATGGGATCTCTATGGTCGTTGCCCCGGGGTTGGACTGGAGAAGCTGGGGAGCTGAGGGAGGAGGACTGCAGCGTTGCACTACTGATGCTGGTCCATGTAGAGCTGCACAGCTTTCCACAGCGCGCGGATATTTCCCTCCCCAAAGCCGGGTGCTCCTCGACGGTCAATGAGCTCCAGGAAAAAGGTCTCCTCCGAGAAGATGGGATGGGTGAAGATCTGCATCAAATATTCCCGAGAGGGGCTCTCTGTGGCATCAATGCCCAGCTGGCCCTTGTCCCCAGGCACTGTGGTGTCCAGGAGGATGCCAAGCTCTGCCAGCATGTGAGGGTCCTGCCCAGCTCTTCGGATCTCCTCTGCTTTGCCCCCCTGGCTGTAATACGTGGGGGGGGGTGTGAAGAACCGTGCCCCCTGCTGCTGCAGAGCCCTGGTCGTGCTGACAATGTCAGTGGTGCAGAGGCCGACGTGCTGGATCCCAGCCCCGCCGTGCTGCTCCAGGAATGTGTCAACCTGGTTGGTGCCGTTCTGGGAGAGGGACTCAGCAAAGACCAGCTTGCAGCTGTGGGCTGGGGTGCCCTGGGCGCTCTGCAGTGCAAGGAGCAGCATGCCCACCCCCTGCCCCCCCAGCAGGTACCCTTCAGCCGGCCTTTCCTGGGGGTTCAGCAGGAAGCGGTGGAAGCCGAAGCAGCGCTGGTACCAGTCCAGAGCCGCCCGGGCCCCGCCCCGGGGGCAGACATATGTGATGTGGTCAAAGTGAGTGATCCTGATCTCGTCCCCTGTGGCTGAGGGGGCTCCTTGGATGGGCTGGAAGCCCGGCAGGAAGAGTCCTCGGTAAGAGGATCGGTCCAAAAGGGTGTGGCTGATGTTGCCCACCACAGAGCTCACCACGCTGTAGGTGACAGAACCACCCTCATCACTCAGCTCAGTGGGGGGCACCAGCAAGGAGCATCCCTGGCTCTGCAGCCGCTTGCAGAGCCCCGGCACATCATCCACCTCGAAGCAGACATTGGAGGCCGTGCCCAGGGTGGGCTGGGGATCTACATCATAGAGGAAGTCACGGGATGAGGTGACTTCCCGTGCAGGTGCCAGGCGCTCGTTGACGAGGAAGATGGCAGATTCCCGTCGCAGGGCCAGCTGCCGGACACGCGGCGTCTCCCGCACGGCCACTGGCTGGAAGCGAAAGGTGTTGGCCAGGTGCTGGCCCCAGCCTTGCCTGTAGGGCAGGTGCAGGGAGATGAAGCAGGGGCGGCTCAGCGAGGCTGCCATGGCTGGGCAGGCTGTGGGGAGGATGCAGGGGGTCAGAGGGGCTGCTGGCCTTGGGGAAAAGCTGTTCCCCCACCTTGCACAGAGCCCACCTGTGTTTGCAATCACACATGCATATGGGTGTAAACTTGCACCTTTTAAATGTGTGATTTTAAATAAGTGGGTGTCAGGAGCCAGTTTGCACTGTGAAAGGGCACCCACCTTTGGGACCAGCTACAAAGAGCAGCCCAAGGATGCCAAGCCCTTCTGCCAGCCTTCCACTCTGCTGCCCTGCCCTGTGCTTGAGGTCCCAGAGCAGGAAAGCCCCAAGCCCTGGATGCAGCCCTGCGGGTCCCCTCTGGAGCCACGTGTCCTTTGGGAGTGCTGCAGGGAGGTCAGTGGGGATTCCCAGTGGAGGAGGTGTGCTGCATGTGTAAGCAAGATTATGGGGACAAGGGTTATGGTGGGAATGTCCTGTACCAGGAACATGGACTGGTAAACATGGAGCAACACACTGGTTACAGCTAAAACGCTCCTGTGCTGCCCCAGTGCCTGTCAGGTGTGTCCCACCAGTGGAGGGGAGCAGTGGGGTCATGATAGGCTGATGTGCCCTTCCCCTCCCCAACAAGGACAGCGTGGAGCCACCATGCTCTCTGCTACAGCCCAGAAACCATGACAATGCCCTAGCAGCACAGAAGAGGAACACTTCGGGAAAGTGTTCGGGAAACACCTTCCTCCCCACTCATCCAAATATCTGTGATGCTCAAGGGGGAAAACAGATCTGCCCAAAACTCCAATCAGAATCACCTCTCCAGAGCACCCACTGAGATTTCCTGATCCCATAGCATGCACAAGCCGCTCTGGCCAGTCCTCACAGGTGTGCAGTGGGCTGGCGGCACACACCTGCTCAGATATTCCCTTTTCCCTGCCCGCCTGAAGGGGCTGTGTGCACCGAGCTCTCAGCGCTCCTTCCCACCAGCCCAGGGCGGAGGGACCGCGTGGACCCGGCGAGCGCATGGGCAGGGGCCGGCGCTCCTTCCCTCCGGCCCCGCTTCCCGCTGCGCGCCGCGGCACCGGCTCGGGCCCGCTCCGCTCCCGCCGGCCCCGCTCCCCGCGCCCGCCCCGCCACCCCCGTGCCCGCGGGCCCGCTCGCCCTCGGGCTGTGGCTCACCGAGGTCAAGGCTGCGGGCGAAGGGGACGGCGGGCAGCGCCAGCGGGGGCGGTTCAGTTCGCTCCGCCCCGGCATGCACCAGGCCCGGCCCTGCCCGGGCTGCGGAGCGGCCGCGGGAGCGCTCCCGGCGGGGGAGCGGGGCCATCGCCCGGGCGGGGATGGGGCCGGCACAGGAAGAACGCGCTGCCCGCTGCGGGGACCGCGGTTTGCGGGCCAAAAGCCGCCCAGGCTGAAAACCGCAGGCACCGCGACTCGGGATGAGCCGAGGGGAAGAGGGAAGTGCCTGCCAGGCGGTGGCCTGGGCTCCCTGGGGCACAGCTCGTGTCTGTGCAGGGTCATTCCGAATCCCAGGACATGAACTGGGGAAACGTGTCCCTGCTCAGTGCTGGGCGCTTCACGGTGTCCGGGGTACCCGGTGGGGACTTGAGGGGAACAGCATGCGGGTGGGGGGTGACAGCTCTGCAGAAAGTCTGGTGTCAGTCACAGGGACTGCTCACCAGTCCAACCCACGGCCCCACATCCTTGCAGACACTGCTGGGCCCCTCAAGCCTCTCAGCAGTGATCCCCTCTCGCCCTGCTGTTTTCAGACGAATCCCCACTCTATGTGTGCCTGGGATCATGTTCTGCCCTCACTGTGACTGTGGCTGCTTGCCCTTCCCTGCCTTATCATGTTTTTGTACAGATCCCAGGTACAATAAACTGCTCAAATATTTGCAGAGATGTCCTTGTGCTGCCAGAGTGGTGAGCTCCTCTTGTTTGGTTGGGGGGTGGAATCCAGTATCGCTGTGATTTCCCAAGGAAACACCGATACTACCACAGCCCCATCAGTGTGGGGCTGGACAGGAGGCATGGAACTGGACACTGGGGAGTTGCCGTGGGGCCAAGCTTGGCCTGAGAACGGCACAACAGACCAGCCCGGCTTTCGAGGTGACACCCCACAGGGCAGGGAGCTCCAGCACCCCGCTGTGTACGGGAGGCACCATCTTTTTGTCTGCAGGGAAGCAGAGACGGCACTGGTGGCTCCTGTGGCACCTCGTGCAGGGATGGCACTGTTGGAGGTCACCCCACAGTGGTGCAACCCTTCGGTGTAAGCAGTGTCCTTGGCAAGGTCCCCAGCCCTCCTGTGCTGCGAGGTTTGGAGCGGCTGTGTCCCTCTCTTCCCTGCAGCACCGCCTGCCACCTCTGGCGTCAGCCCGGCACCAGGCACCGCTTTGCTCCGGCACGGCTTGGGCTGGGCTGTGGCAGCAGCACCCCGAGGCCACATGGCACCGACGGGGACAGTGCCTGCCTTGTCGCTGTCCCCTCGAGGCAGGCGGTGGTGGCCGAGGCGCAGTCCCCGCTCCAGCCAGGCTCTTCTCCTCCCTCCTGGGCGGGGAGAGTGGTCAGGAGATAAAAGGGGGACTGGGGCCAGCTGGAAGTTGCTGAAAGCTGCTGGGGCCCGGAGCGAGGGAGGACGGCAGCGAGGAGAAGCGCGGTATCGAGGGCTCGTTCTCGCGGGGAGAGGGCTGGGGAGTGGGAGCTCATCCACCCTGACCAGATCCGGCATCTCCCAGCTCCCTCCCCGGACCATCCCCTCCAGACCCATATCCTCCCCCTTGCCCATTAAGTGTGCTGGATATTAGAGGGATGGGGAATATGC